GGTAACTCACAGTAGGATGATTGAATAGGACCATCTCAGCTCACTGAGAACCCCTAGGCATTATTAGGTCTTTCTCCAGGATCCCAGTGTGCCTCCAGAAGAGACCTACTGATCTGTCTTACCCCAAATTGGGAGCTTAGAGAAGTGGACTGGCTAAGGTCTCACAGAAGTATGCAGGGTTTTATTTATTCCTTACTTCAGTAATGCTTTGTTTATTGGTGCTTGCTATCTGAGGCCAGACCCTTGCTCGTGTTCTCTGGCCTTAGACTGGAAGTCTTTACTACACTGCAGTGCATGGGGTGCTGAGGGTCTGGATCCTACCAATGTGGAAGCTGCCTTGGTAGGCACTTCTCACACCCAAGTCATCATAGCACATGCCTTCCATTCTTAAGCCTTTGAAGCAAGTGTCTCTGGTGGGAACTGGTACCTTGTTAGCATTCCTCCTGCTGGGAGGATGGGAAATCCCTTGGTGGAGTGAGCTGGAAGACACTCTGGCTTGGTGCTTTTTGTCCATTTCCCAAGTGGGAAAACCCACAAGTCCTATCTGTCCTTCATGTTCCTCTGCTGGGGGGGGGGGGTTAAGGGGGGTGAGGGCAGTAATGTGGGGGTGGGGGAGGTGGTAAGGTGTGCATGGGGTGTTTATATTTTCCTTCTTATAGTCAGAGTTTAAGAAGAAAGAGGGTCAGTCCTCTCTGGCTGAAAGGCCATCACTGTCCTCTTTGTTTCACTGTATTTATTTGTTAAGGTTCAAAGGAGGGCTTTCAGCTAAGTCATCACACAGTTTATCTCTGTTAGTCTCAGGGAAGCTTTTTTTTTTTTTAAGCTTGGATTCAGCATGTTGACATGTCTGTCTCTGCTTTGTAATCAGTTTGGAAACTCCTGGTTTTCTTCGGCAAGTTACCTGTGATATTGGGGATATTATGATCTATATATGATCTTTTCTTAAAATTGTTTTATATATGTGCTAGGTTTTGGAAATAAGAACTCATCCTAACCCCTCCTCCCCTTAAAGGTAATGACCTTCATGCCATTACCCTTTTATTTTTGCCTCCCCTATTATAACATTGTCAGAAGTGTGTTGTTTAGGCCATCAGGAAGCAGCAGAACTTCAAGGCTTATCGTTCTTTTGTTGCAGAGTATGAAGCGTTTAACAGGACACTCTTTCTTCTTAAAATCTGACCGAAATCGCATTGTAAGAAGGAAAACATAATGAAATATTTAGTTAAATAATCTTTGTTTAATTATACAGTTGTTAAACTCCAGATTATCAATATAGAAGCTAAGTTGATTCAAGTTTTGCTAACATTCCACCCCCACAAACCTCTTCTTATGTTGGTTGCATATTACTCATTAAGCCCTTTTGCACCACTTAAAGTAGAAACCAGATTAAAAAATAGAACTTAAAAAGGTTAATAATTTCCATGCACAAGGAATGGAATGCAGTAGCTGGGTTAGATATCTTGTGTAATTTTGAGTGTGTCTTACGTAAAGAGATAGATAATGAGTACGTCTGAGGCACACGTACCCTCCCTCTCTTTTCTGGCCTGTGAGTAGAATGCTTTCCTGTGCAAGTAAATTGTTAACTCACTGGTTGCCTCCCATAGTTAACTGTAAGTTTGTTCAGCACTCTGTGTGCCCAGCAGCAAGGACATCCGTGACATGAGGAAAGGCCTCAGCACATATTTGTTTATTTTATTGCTAAATGGGCAGAAATATGACATTTATTGCTAACTGTCATCTGCCAGTCAGGCTGCTGCCTTCCACAACCCACAATCCCTTGGGAAATTGCACTGGTTTGGGTGTGATGTAAGTGACCCCCACTCCCAGGGTCTTGGTACCCAAGGTGGCAGTTTAGACAACTAATATGAAACCTTTAAGATGTAGGAACTAGTGAGGGGACCTTAGGTCTTTTGGAGCACACTCTTGGAAGGGATTATAAGACACAAGTTTCTCTTTTTCTCTGTGCCTGGTCGGAACTGTATTGTAATTATTTCCTTGTCACGGTGTAAATGATGAACCCTTATCGGTGTAGTTGAAGGGCAGTCCTGGCTTTGGAGCTATCTGTGCTGTGACATTTGAGTATTCAGCTTTCAAAATTGAGATATATATAAAAAAAAACCATTCTTTTTCATAAGTAGTTGTATTAAGTGTTTTGTTATAGTGTCAAAAAAGCTTGTTAATGGACTGGAGAGATGGCTCAGGGGTTAAGAGCACCAACTGCTTTCAGAGGTTCTGAGTTCAATTCCCAGGAACCACATGGTGGCTCACAACCATCTGTTATGAGACCTGGTGCCCTCTTCTAGTGTGCAGATATACATGGAAGCAGAATGTTGTATACATAATAAATAAATAAAATCTATTTAAAAAAAAAAGCTGGTTATTACAAACACTTGTCCCTGTTGTTTTTGTGTGTGTATTTTGCTGGTAGGGCATGGATATAACTTTCCCTAGAAGCCTCTTGTCATTGTATTTCTTCCAAAAAGAGTAGATAGATGCATTATGCATGTGTACAACATCTTGAACTACTTATACTGTTTGTTTTTATCCACCGTTAGGCTAGACTCTGAAATCAGATTATGTCTGACTTGCATATCACTATATCCCTGGCACCTCCTTGCCCATTTGTTGGCTCTTAATATACATTAATAAAAATCTACTCAAAATACTCCAATGAGAGCAAACAGATAGAACAGATGATACATGATGAGCGCTGTAAAACCAAACTTGTGGACTGTTTCACTGTCCATTTTAGAAGATTTTCTTTCAGTTTTTGCTTCCTGCCATATTTCAAGGGACTTCATTTTTAATGATTTAATTTTTCGTAGAACTGTCTTTCTTCAAACAAAAGCGTGTCCATTTGATTACCGTCCCCACTTTGCTGGGAGGCTCAACCTCATCTCTGTCACTTGGACTCATGTATGAATAAGTGTATATAGTCATGTATGCATTAACACACACATGTATAGCCTTTTGTGAGGATGAAGGTAGGTAGCTTTTATTTACCTGAGTTGGTTTTTGTTTTATTGCAATGGTGATGAGCACATTAAGAAGTAATAATATTTAGGAGTGCGTCCAAGTTCCAATATCATTTTTTTTTTTACAAAATAATAGATTTGTCAGTTATAATTTATGTAATAAAAAGTTACCCCCTTGAAGTTTACAGTTCAGTAGTCTGCATCTGTATGTTTAAATGTGTGTATGGGGTGGATGCAGGTGTGTGTACACATGTATGCTCATACATGTGGAGGCCAGTGATCTGTCATTCCTTGGGTGCCATTCATCTTTATTTACTTTGAGACATTGCCTGTCACTGGCCTGAAGCTCACTGGTTGATTTGACAGTGAGCTCCATGTATCCTTCTGTCTTTCCTCCCCGGTGCTGGGATCACAAGCATGTGCCTGCCACCTGGCTTTTTTCGTGGATTCTGGAAATTGAACTTAGGTCCCCTATCTCCCCAGCCTTCCAATTCAGTAATTTTAAACATACTTACAGGACTGTGCAACCATCCCCACTGTAGTTGCAAACTGTTGTCTCATTTCCAGATGAAATCTAAACTCATTCTTATACCTGTTGTGAGTATTTCATATAAATGGGACATGTATCTTTTGTGTCTGATTTCTGTATTTGTCACAATGGTTGGTAGCCTCTTCTGCATGGTGATAATAGGAGGATTGGCAGCACTTCATTCTCTTTAGGAGCAATGCTCCTCCTCACATACATACATACATACATACATACATACATACATACATACATACATACGCACGTACGCACGCACGCACGCACGCACACACACACAGGGTTTCTCTGTACGACAGCCCTGGCTGTCCTGGAGCTCACTCTGTTGACCAGGCTGGCCTCAAACTCTGCCTTCCAAGTGCTTGGATTAAAGGCTTGCGTCACCACTGCCCGGCTCATATGTAATACATTTTGATCACTTCCCCCCTCCCCTGTCATGCCCTCGTTTGTCTCTGTTTCACTTCTGAGTGTCTTGTTCTTCTCAACTAACCCCTCTCCCCATATCTTCTCTTGGTGGGTGTCTATACTCCTGTAAGCAATCCTAGTCTGTGTCTTGCTGGTTGCTTGGTTGGCTAGCCCCTGACATCCTCTTCTCCTTGTTTTTTCTATCTTGCTCTTCCTTCTCTTCCCAGATTTCTCCCTTCTGTTTATTTTCTCTGCCTGTCAGCCCTACCTATTCTTTCTGCACTATTGGCTGTTCAGCTCTTTATTAGACAGACTATCGAGTGTTTTAGACAAAGAATCATAGCTTCACGGAGTTAAACAAATGCAGCATAAACAAAAGCAACACCTTTACATTGTGAAACAAACAAATGTTCCAGAGCATAAGCAAATGTACCATACCTTAAAATCATATTCTACATGTTCACATTGAGCGCTTTCACCCTGAGCACACCACTCAGACTAACAAGAACATTGCTGGGGTCATTGGGAATTTCAGTGTCTGTTCTGGGTTAGATTATTTCATCTTTCTGGGCCTTCTGGTAGAGCTGAGGGGCTTAATTGGAACATAAGCCCAGGAGATAGTGACCTACAGTGTTGAAGGTCTCAGACTTAAGGTGTTCGTTCTCTTTCTGGGTTCAAATACCAGTTCTAACACTTCTCACTCTGCCATCACCAGCAAGTTAATTAAGCTTTCTTTACCCCTGTTTGCTCATATGTAAGGTGAGGATAAAACCTCACCTTAAAATACTGGCAGAAGTATTGTTTAGAAAATGGTCTATTGATCAGGTGAGCACTGCTTTGTCTGTTACTGTTACAGCTACTGACTGCAGCATGTCTCTCTTCCCTGGAAATAAGGCCTTTGACTCAGCCTAGCTGGTTTCCCAAGGACTACTGCTGCCTGGCTGTAATGGTTATTTAGTAGCTTTCTGAAGAGGGAAGAAGGAACAGAAGGATTATAAGGAATGAACGATAGAGTTTCTAAATCCTTTTCTAAAACCATCTCTGACAGCTTTTTATTCTACCTTCGTTTACAACAGCTTCTGGAGCTATTTGACAGTGAAGACCCCCGAGAACGAGACTATTTAAAAACAGTCTTGCACAGGATTTATGGCAAGTTTCTTGGGCTTAGAGCATTTATCCGAAAACAAATTAACAATATTTTTCTAAGGTGAGTGAATGGTGGGCAATCAAGAGAGCAAAGTTGATGCTTTTGCAAGTGTTAAGTAACCCTCCAATAGTTGAAGGAAATGCGCTAACTTCTTCCCCACTCCCTTCCCTCTCCTTTCTCCTCTCTTCTTCCCTTCTCAGGTTTGTTTATGAAACAGAACACTTCAATGGTGTAGCTGAACTGCTGGAAATATTAGGAAGGTAAGTATTTGCTGTGAATTGCGAATCTCAGTGAGTCTCATTCACTGAAGATTCAGGTGACGGAAGGCTGTACACTGACTTGGATCTCTTGCTCCAAGTACCTCGGGTCTCTCTCATTTGTGCCTAGCCTGTTTGCCAGATGACTCAAGGAGTCACCCTCGTTCCATAATTACATATTGTTAACTACCCCACAATGACCAGAAGGAGATCACAGCTTACTCAGAGACAGTGTGCCTGATTGGGTGGCAGGCTAGTGACAGCAAAATGTCTCATTTACTAGGCCTAGCTTGTGGGTTACCTGTCCTTTCTCACATCTGTTAAGAGCAGATTTATAATAAATTGAAAAGATTGTATGCCTGGGTGTGAAGTTCTAAACAGCTGCTGCCCTCAGAGGAGGAGTGAGGCTGCTGTTGTGTGGGGTTCAGAACTGACGGAGCTGGACAGTGATGGCCCAGACTTTCCTCCTAAGAGGAGAAAGGGAGGTGTAGTACTTTGATTGACAGCTAGACAGAGGAGCAGGGGAGGACAAAACATGGGTTTGATAAGAAGTTTTGGGGCACTGTCTGCCTGTTTGGGAAAGCACAGCTTCCTCTGTTGTTCATAATCAAATTCACTTCTTTTTAAAATTCCTACTTAATAAATGACGGATGTTGAGGTAACTAAAGAGTTTTCAATGTCACTGGTGGGAGGGTTTGGTCATGGTTTTTGAACAAATATAAATTAAGAGTTACCCAGCTCATGACAACAGCTTGTCTGGGTTCAGTGTGTGGGATGACATTGCTAACCTGCCTTTTTTTTTTTTTTTTTCCTCTAGTATTATCAATGGCTTCGCTCTACCACTTAAGGCAGAACACAAGCAGTTTCTGGTCAAAGTGTTGATCCCTTTACATACTGTCAGGAGTTTATCACTCTTCCATGCCCAGGTAGAACTTTATATTAAAAATCTTTTTTGAGACAAAGTCGTCCTTTGTAGCTAGAGTGGCTGTGAACTTTCAGTCTCCCAGCCTCTTCCTCTTGAGTGCTGGGATGCCAAGAGAGTGCCACCACACCTAGCTTAATGTACAGCTTTTGAAACAAAATGAAGTTTGTGTTTCTTAGGATATTGTTTTCCTTTTTTTTTTTTCCCCCTTTTAAAGGAATGTGTGTTAAAGGTTAAAATACTCCCTGAGGAAAATAATAAAGTATGTGTTTTTTGCACACAATAGAATTGTGAAACTATTTTACAGGTAGGAATGGGCTTTGCTCTGTTTTATTTCGTAGCAGATGTCTATGTTCACAAGGTTACCTGCTACAAAGATTGTCCATAGTAGAATGTATATAAATGCAAAGAGTATAAGAATGTAACAGAATGAGGCAAGTGTGAGCATTGCCTAATGAATTGAATGTTCTTAAATACTGGGTGCTGTCTCACTTTGCCCTGGGCTGTCAGCTGCCCCTTGCCCCTCGTCTGCATCACCACTTCTCATCTTGCATACACAGTAGACACTTTCACAAGTAAGCAAATCTATCAGTATTTTTTACATCTTCCTTTTTATAATTCCTTCATGACTTTGAAAATCAGATCTTGCAGGGTGTGGTCACTCTCACCTTGAGATCTCAACACTTCCAAGGCCAAGGCAGGAGGATTGCCTCCAGATTGAGGTTAGCATTGGTAACAGTGTGTTGTCCCAGGAAAACAGCAGAGACATACATAAGAGGAGTAGTGACGGTGATCAGATTGTCCTCGCTGTAACTCTGTCCTGACACTGCATTCATTGCACAGTAAGCATGCCACTGGAAGACATAGTTGATCTAGTGATAGTTTTAATTTTAGTGCTTTAAGCCTCTGGCTCCCTTCTCTTTTGAGTTTGCATTAAAAGTAACACATTTTTCTAAGTAGTGTTCCTTCTTAAATGTGGAACTCTGTATTTTGAAGAAAAAATTGCTGCATATGTTCCAGATTTAGCACACCATCAAAATGCTGGTGTTTTAAGAGGACAGGTTTTCTGTTCAGGGATCTTTCTGCGCCCTTAAAAAGCTCCTCTTTAGTCTTTGCAGTTGGATATAGACCATGGTTGTTGAAAGCATTCCTGTTGAGACTGGGAGCACTCCCCAGATTCTGACTTTGGCAAGTATAACCTTTGGTCTTTTGGGGGAACCGTGTTTTCAGGTTCCCCTGTAGGCAGTTGCCTGAGTTTTTAGAACTTGAGATGCAAACTGACCGTGAATGTAAATGAGATCCTCTCAGTGGTATTGAACGAGGTATTTCAGCCATTTTCCATTAGCCTTAGAGGTTTTAGTACTCTTAAGAAAGAAAAAACTTCCTCTGGAGCCTTGTTACTTTGTCTTTAACTTGAAAACCCAGCTTTTAGCTATAGTCTCTGCTACTTAGGAAGCGGGGGTAGGAGAATCATTTTGGCTTAGGAGTTCAAGACCAACAACTGGGTAACATAGCTGGATCCCAATTCTAAATAAATAAAATTTAAAAGTCTTATTTTTCATGATGGTTTAAATGAAGTGATTGTGATGTTAAAACCAGAGTCTGGATGCTTTTGGGACATGTTGGTGCTGTGTGCTTTCAGTTTTTATAATGTGGAACTTATACTCTATCCTTTCCTTTTCCTTCTTGTTCAGCTGGCGTATTGTATAGTACAGTTTCTGGAGAAAGATCCTTCACTTACAGAACCAGTAAGCTAATAATTATTTCCTTCCATAATGTGAAAAAAACTTAAGAAATTTTTTTTTATTAAAATTATGCGAAACATTAAATGTCTCTTTCATTTTTCCTTTTTCTTTTTAGGTTATTAGGGGGTTAATGAAATTTTGGCCTAAAACATGCAGCCAAAAAGAGGTAAGTACTTAACATCAGAGAATGCCAGCACCGTAGGGAGTGCTTTGCCGAGCGCCCAATGGGGTTAAGCATGCACAGACATGTGCCTCATCTAAAGCTGGCTTGTAGTGTGGCAGTCAGTGATCTCAGGGTTACTAGTGATAAAACTGAGGCATCCAGACGTTAAGTGGCATACCTAAGCACACTGAACAAGAGCATGCCAATAAACCAGAACTCGCCTCCTGAACTCTGAACACTGGGCTTTTAGCCATTGTAATCCCTGGCCATGCATCACTGTGTGTCCAGTTATTTAGCTCCACAGGGATGTATGTCACTGTCACAGTGACTCTGCACAGCATGGAAGCCTGCTCCAGTCCCCAAGGCTTATACTATGTGCAGTGTCATAATACACAACAGACCTTTAACTTGTCATGCTTGGGGATGAGGTGCCATGCAGGCACCTAAACAAGCATGTCCTGCTATGGGTGTTGGTAAGGAGTGAGTCCCCAGGCAATAGCTTGAAGGGAGCCTGTCTCTACCCCAGATGAGAAGCCCTCTCCTTCTGGCCTGGAACAGGCCACCTGTTAGCTTTATGTTCCAAGAGAATAGACTGTCTTGACAAAGGATGCAGCATATGGAAAGAATCCCTCTCACACATCAGCTTTGGTCCTAACCCTACTCTAGAGCCTCAGGAGGTTCCCCCAGTCCACAGCCTCAGGAGGTTCCCCCAGTCCACAGCCTCAGGAGGTTACCCCAGTCTCCAGCCTCAGGAGGTTACCCCATTTCTTGACAGCCTGAGGTAAAGGGAATCTCTGCATCACTAGGGAAGAAGTGTCATTCTTCATATTTTAAGCGCCTTCTTATCTTTTCCCATTGTTATTTTTCATGAATAAATAGGTAACTGATATTTATTTGTTATTTTTCCATTCTATTTATACAACTGTCTAAATCTATTTATCTTGCTCCATTGTGTGATCTTCAAGCTTTCTTTTGCATACAGCCCTGAGGCCATGAGATTCACTGTGCTCTAGAGAGAGTGGGGAGAGGGAGAGAGAGTATGTGTGTGTACACGCGTGTGTGCATATAAGCATAGAAAACAGGTCAGTGTGTGCTGATGTGTTAATGTGGTACTTTAATATGAGTGAGTTTGCTGTTTGTCTCAGACTTGGCGAGCATAGCAGAAAGACAGCTGCTTGTCGAGTGACTGTGTCCTTCTGTGGTGGTGTGGACTATGCGCATTTGTTCAGGAGGGTCAGCCATTGTTTTAAAAAGGTGGGGTCAGGTGGGGTGTTAAATATCTGGGTTGCTAGCAGTAGGCAGAGTCCCAAAGACCTGACAAGGGAGAGACTAGTTGTCCTGGGGCCTCCATGTAATTATAATTCCCAGTGCTATCAGTAACTAACTTTAACAGAATACCCTGTACTGAGTTCTTTGTGAAGTGGGTATGTTCTTTGTGTGTATGAGGGCGTGCGTGGGGTTTGCACATGGAGGCCAGAGAAGGATTCTTGAAACAGTGGCTTGCTGTAGAACTTGGAGCCAGGCTGGCAGATAGCAAACCCTGAAGATTCTCTTGTCTCAGAACCCCATAGCACTGGAGTTATAGGCATGCTTATGGGCCATCTGTCTTTTTATGTGGGGACTGGGGATTTGAACTCATGTTCTCATGCTTTCATAGCAAGCACTCTTACCTACTGAGCCATCCTACTAGGCCAAAATGAATAAAACAATGTCTGGGGTTTTTTTGTTTGTTTGTTTTGTTTTGTTTTGCTTTATGTGTACATTTTTCTTAAAATTGTCAGTAAAATTGATCATGTGGATTTTTTGGTGATGAACCTCATATTTTGTGTTTTGCTTCTATTTATAGGTCATGTTCCTTGGGGAGCTAGAAGAAATCTTGGATGTGATTGAACCATCACAATTTGTTAAAATCCAAGAACCTTTGTTTAAACAAATTGCCAAGTGTGTTTCTAGCCCCCATTTTCAGGTTAGTAGTAAACAGAACATGAGCCAGAGTGGTATGGGCCACGTGAAACCATTGGCTAAACTTCATTTGTGTTAGGAAAAAATCATTATGGGCACTGGCTATATAGGTTTTTTTTTTTTTTTTTTTTTTATTATTGTTTTGTGGGTTTGTTTA